TCGGCAATGTTTGATCAAATATGTTTTACTTTAAGATGTTGGTACTGATTTACTCAAATAAATGAGTTTCTTTACAACCTGGTCAATAGAGACTCACAAACATTTTCCATTTTTGCAATATGATGGGTAAAAGAATTTTACTTTGTAAAAGAGTTTTACTTTGCATTTCTCTTTTGGGGTAGAACATCATTTCATTTTTATTAGTCAACTCTTTTGCAAATCTGTCCATTGAACAAACTGAGTTTGTTTTTTTCTTATTGATTTGTAGTGCTTAAAAAAAATCTATTCTGTCCTTATGATTCACCCAAATCAATGTTGTACATTCTTCATTTCAAATCTTTCAATGGCTTTTTCAAATCCCTTTTGTACATACTAAAGAATGACTTTAAGGCCCACCAGTCAAATCTGATCACATCCTTCGGATTCTATACTGCCTGTGACTGCTTTTGCACAATGGCAGAGTTGGTATGGTCTACAAAGCACAAAATAGTTCCTGTTTCATCCTTTACAGGAAAAAAAAAAAAATGCGTGGAAAAAGAAGGCATCTGAATTACTGCTTGATACCTGTCAGGATTCCTCAACTTCTTTGAACTTAGAGAACACAGTAGGTCTCGATCTTTGCTGATGTAGCCTCTGAAATGCTACTCCTAGTTCTCCGAAATGCCTGAGCCATTGCATGGAATTATTAGTGAGCCTGAGGTATATATATAGATTTGCATCATGAAACCTGTAACTATACTTAATTGCAGTTTTTATTTATACCTCTCTTTCCACTAGTATGAAATCTCTTGAGGACAAGGGACAATGACATATATGTAGTGAATGAACAGATGGCATACAAGGCTCTATCATTTGCCACCATTCTCATAATTTGTCTTCCTGTGCTTTAGCCCAAATAAGCTATGTTTTTGTCATTAAATAATTTTCAAATACACTGCTTCTGATGGCAATATGATGAGTCCTGTTTTATACTCAATTTTGGTGACTACCTCAATTATTTGTTTGAGTCTGCTTAGTACTTTCGCTATTTGCTTAAGTATTTATCTTTCCTAATTCCTCTGGAGCAAAGACAAAAAGAATGGAAGCCTAACTTTTCTAGGATCAGCCTCTTCATTTATGGCAGTAACTTCGGAGCCTCAGGATTAAGAGGCCTCATTATTTTAGTAATGGTTTCATAGTACTTCAAAGACAACTGTAAAATACAACTTAAATGCCTTCTCCTTCAGTTTCAGTATATTAAGACTTTATTTTGTCAGGGGTTTTACCAAATGTATTTTTCAATATAGTTACTTGATGGGTTTTTGCCACTTAATCCAAGAATTTGATGAATTTTTCCCCTTCTTCTGTTTCACTCAGTTAATCACTGAGAGTGTTTCACCTACAAATGCTTTATATATTTATTAACAAATGTATCCCATCCAGGTAAGGATTTCCCCCTCCCTCTGCCCTTTGCTAAAATGCATATGGATAGTTAAGCACTGTCTGATTTAACTCTGTAATCTAGCCATTTACTATTTCCAGCTCACTTTCACTATCTTAAAGTGGCTGATGATCTATAGTTAGTAGATTCATCATGTCAAAATGACTTACAAGATTCACTATAACATTCTGTATTCATTTCATATATATATATATATTACATAAAATTTTACAAATAAAAAAACATGAGGTTTGCAATCAGGCAGATACACCTTCAGACCCAGACTTGATTATCTACACTCCAGTAATTAAAATGGAAGTAACTCCCATGTGTTAACACAGGTCTATGAACATGAGAATGGATGTAAAAGTAATGCCTCAAACACCAGAGGAAAAACTAGTAATTCAATCCCTTTCCCTCCCATCTCAAGCAATAAGGGCTATAAATACTATGCTCCTCAATTTATTCTAAGTCTATTAATAATTTTTCTCTAGTAAAAGCAACCTGGCAACATGGACCTATGCTAAAGGAACAATCTAAAACACAGCGATTGTTTTACGGACAGGATGCTCATTACTGTGATTCTGAGAATCGCAAAGAAAAGAACTTGTTAACTGTCTGCATTTCAGAAACATGAAGTCATTTAAAAAGATGATGATGAGATAACTTAATAGCATTAGAAAATGTTTAGGGTGGTAGGTTAGAAAAGCAGACACTTTACAAAGTCTCAACTTTGTTAAAAAACCAAACACACTGAGAAAAAATATTGGAAGGAAATGCATCAAAGGGCTTATGGAAGCTACCTCATAGCCCTAATATAGTGATTTCCATTAATTTATGGTTATTTCCTATAGTTTTATAAAATACTAATGATTATGATGATAATAATAGTTATTATTACATGCCACATCCAATTCCAAAAACAAGTATAATAACTCATTTAGTCCTCTTAATATTATGAAATGAGGAAACAGAAGGACAGTGAGATAAAATAACTTGCCCAATATCAACCAGATAATTAGAGAAGAGGTGAAGATCTGAACCCAAGAAGTCTGGTTCTAGAGCTTCCTAACTGCTATGCTATCCCAAAAAGATGGCAGTGTTTTCAAATGTTAACCATAAAAAATGCATTATGTCAAAAATCTTGTGGTCTTTACAGCTAATGCTTTCTTTTAATTCTGATTTCAAATATTTGCTCTGCCATGAGAAACCATTTAGGAATAAGATGTCGCTACCATTCTTGAATGTTTTCCACATATTCCAGGAAATTTCAGCACAAATCCACACCCCTACTTTCTATTCCCATGTTTCATTTAACCACTGAGACCATGCAACACTAATATTTTTACTTATGATACCTTACTGACAGTCCTCCTAAGAATTTCAGTAAGGAGATCTTGAAACAACCAAGCTTAGCTTCTAGAAACTCTCTCTTATCTAACACCCATCTAAAATTGACACTATAACTCTAATCGTCACCCTTGCAAAACACATCTTCCTTGTGAAATTCATTCCCTCCATAACCACTCTCACCTACCAATACTCACCAAATAGTTATCAACTATGGCACTGATTAATAAATGGTAGCAATTAAGATCTCTAACACCTAGAGAATTTTACTGTTTCTGATACTTCCTTTTTGAAGGTGGCACAGTTCTCCATGGTTTTTGAAAACTTCATCAGCAATCACTTTGATTCGCTTGGATTTTTCCCCCTTTTGCTGGTAAACCAAATGGTTATCTTGGGAATAAGATTTTTTGAGTATCAATATGTATTCCAATGCCAATTCTAGGAAGAAATAGTCATAACTTAAAACTGCTAGTAATAAAAACTCCTATTTATTGTTGTGCCTCTACCTGTTGTTTACAGTTGATAGATTTATTTCATTACATGTCACTTGATTCCAAACTTCTTAAAAATAATTTTTACCAAATCCATCATAGTTAACTACTGAGTAATTCTTCAAACTAGAAGAAACTTACATTTCTTTGCAATTTATTACAGTATTTAGAAAAATTTACTTTACCTGCTGTTTTAACATTACGAGAAAAACTAACATGGAAACACTAAATATAATGGCAAGTGTTGATAACAAAAATATTTACAGCCAGAAATACATTTTTACCAGAATATTATCCTGCTTACAATGTACAATGCTCATAAGCTTGATTACTTTAAAATATTTTTATAGTTATCAGTGACAGGAATTTAGTAATTCCCAAGAATCACATCGAACTATATATTCCACGGGGGCTCATTTTAGGAAAAATGAAAATGGAACACTAATACTTTAGGCTCACAGTAAATTGGGCGAAATAAAAGTGGTTCTGTCAACCTGTTATAAATTTATGTATTGCAGATACCCAGATCTGCAGTTTCAATGAGTATTTCCCTTTTGCAATGGCAAGTTTTCAATTTAGGGAAGTTCATTCTCTTTGAAGAGACGGGGTAAAGACAGGGTAAAAGAGGTAAACAGAATTGTTTCCAAACCCTACTTCATTAAATATAATTCATTTACCACTCTAACATACAATAAGGAAACAAAATCCAGCAGGAACTTTTGCCTTCCGCAAAATGAGCACAACAGGAAAGCCATTTTACAACCTTACATTTCTAAATATCTAGTACACGACATTCTTTTATTTCAAAAACGTGCTTCCTTTAGGTTAAAAAATAAATCTCGTTATTGAAGTCATCGCTCTTTCAAAGTAGGTTTGTCACTTAGCTGCTTAAATACCGGTCCAAATCAATGTGTGAGTAGTCTCTTAAATTTCCCCATTGCATCTACTGATGAACCAACCTGACGCGTGATTAGATAGGGCTCTTAGATTGCAAGCATCCTTGCAAAACCCAGGTGATTTTTAAAAATCAGTAAGTAAACAAACAGCAGGCTGTCATTTTTAAAGCTAGACAGCCATTCCCAAAACAAGTTGATGGTGGTGGCCGGTCTGCTCCTCAGCAGCTGTTCCGAGTTGCTTGTTCGCGTGGAGAAGTATAAAAGCGTAAAGTACAAATCCCAAAAACCTACGCAAAACCCGTGCAGTTAAAACATCATGTCAACACGTCGTGAGGCCCCAAGGGGGAAGAAGGGCCAGCAGATCAGCTAGCTGCGTGCAGAAGGATAATGTGAAGCTAGGGACACGCGAGCAGAGGACGCCGGGCGCGGACAAAGCCCCGCCAGCCCGGGAGCGCCCGACAAAGGTCAGCACCTGCGAGAAGCTGCCGCCCGGGGGCTGCGACCGCGGCAGCCCGGGCCCCGAAACGCGACCGTTTGACTGAGGGGCAGAAGCGCCCGAGGAGCCGCCCCTCTCCTTCCCGCCGCCCCTAACCGGCTCTAGGCCGGGAAGCCGACCCCCGAGGAGCGGCCGCTCTGCCCTCGGCCGAACCCCGCAGGTCGTCGGGCCAGGCAGCTGTTGGGATTAGAACCGCGTCGCCGCCGCCGCCGGGCTCCAAACGGCCGGGCTGGCAGCCGGAGGGCGGCGCGCTGGCGCCTCATCCCGCTGCGGGCTGGGCAGTTTGGGCACAGCCTGCCTCCGCTCCCGCCCCGCCGGCCGGAGCCGCGCACCGTCTCGCCACCTACCCGGTCCCACACCATCCCAGAGGCCTCCGGCGCTCGGGCCCTCTGCCGAAGCGGCGCAGCCTCCGGTCCGGGGCCTGAAATGGCTGCGGAACAAAGAGAATCTGGGCTCTGGCGAGCGCGGGTCCGATTGGCCGGGGGGCGGGGCCCGCCGCGGGAACGTTCGGCGGCGGTCGCCTTGGCAACGGCGGCGGGGCTGGGAAAATCGCCGCCTGGGCCTGCGGGGCCTGCAGAGTCCGCGGACCTAATCCTTGCGGCAGCGGTTTCTACACTGGGCGCTACCGTCTCCGGCTCTCGCCCGTCGCGGGGCTCCGGCGCTCGCTTCCCTGCCGCCCGCGCTCTGACTAGAGCCTCTGGCTCGCTGGAGGGGCGGCGGGGGACACTGCTGGGCTCCGAGGCCCAGACCAAAATGGCCCTTGTAAGTGTGGTTTCCTAGGGGTTGTCCAGGACCTTCCTAGCATGATGATTCTACCCCAGACTGACTTGATTTAACACCGAACATGCCGCATGTCCCACAAGGAAGCAATTCCAGCGTCGCTGTATAGGCGCAGAAAAGCCTTCAATATGTTAGAGATGGGCGGAGGGCCTCCGGCTCGTTGCTCTAGAGGCTTTCGGGGTATGCTGTATCTAGCACGTCGACTGCTCGATATAGGTAAACAGAAATGATTGATAATATTCAATTTTATGGCCCCAGGTGTGTATGCATGTAAAACTAGTTTCTTGCTCTTAAAAATAACATGCCCTCCTCGCCATATCCAGCCATCACGAGCAATTAAACTGTCAGTTTTCTGAACAGAAAAGAATTAAAAATGGGAGAGGTAGACGTGTTTTAATACTCAGATGCAATAATGGTCATGAATAGATAATTACTAGGCCTCCTAAACCCTGATCATTTTTAAATGCAAATTTAATGTGTATGATATTTTGGATTTTCACTGCTAGATCATGATTTCCTAAGGTGATGATACTACTGATAATATTCGTCCTCATCTGATCAGCGTGTGTAAAAATGCCAATATTTTTGACCATCCTCCTGCAGGTGTTGTATATCGAAATGTTTTGAAAATGTGTAGCAGTTGCTGCCTTCCAGGTATAATCTAAATAATAGCACCAATAGTAGAGAGTGCTTCTTTTTAAGACAGCTAATTTGTTAATAAATCTGTAAATAATTTTCGTTTGGTAAAAACAATCATTTTGCATGAATCATTTGGGCTTGAAAATTTAAGTAGAAAATAATCATTTGTTTTATTGTTAGGCTATTGAAGATAGAAAAAAATGTTAAATAACTAAAATACTTGTAAACTTAAATGTGATTCCTCATTTTTAATGTTAATTTAGTAGCAAATGAATACAGTAGGCCTCCAGATAAAAAAGATTGCTAAGAAAAAAATAAATAAATAAACCTCCCTAAATGGTGGTTTACTATACCGACGGAGAATAGATATATTTAATCCAGAATAAGTATATTTATCCAAATACCAAACAGGGCTTATTTCTGCATTTGAAAGTTTCACTATGGAATAAGGAGTCTTGATCTATATTGATTAGGTAATATATGTTATCTGCATTCATCTTTGCTAAAAAAAAATTACCGTTAACATTTAAGGTGTAAAAGATTAGCAAATAAGAATTCACGTAGCTGTCGTTTGGAAATAATTGAAATGAACTGAAAATAGTAAAGTATTATTTGGTGTATATAAGATTATTTGTTCAACATCTATTGAAGAAGAAATAGAATCAAGTGTGAAACTGAGATAAAACAACAAATATATATTTTGTTATAAAAGTTAAATGAAAATAAATCAAACTGTTGGAAAAGTACTTGTGCATTGAATAAAGAAATGCTTAGACATATAGGTTTTTTTCCCTATATGTCTGAATTAAAAATACATGTTTTAACAGTAAACTTTGTACCACTAACAGGGACTTCTTAGCATGATTTATTTTCCTTTTATTTGTTTTTTATTTTGCACATTTTGCTCATGAAATAGTAGCTAACCCTGTAGTGTTTTCTCTTCAAATCCAAATATAGTTCATGTAGAAGTCTGACCTATACTGAAATTTAAAATCATAAATAAACTTTGTTTTTCCAAAGCATATTATAGATACCTTGTTTTTTTTTTTATTTCTGTATTAACTTTTGTCTTAGGTTTGAAAAATTGACCAAGATAAAAATTAAAGAATGGTAGAGTTTACAAAATAATATTTAAGGGAGATAACATGCTGATAAGCTTTCACCTTGGAAGGAAAAGATGCCTATTGTGGTAGATGTAGCATTGCCAAAATAACCATGAAGCCTGGTGGCAAAAGGCTTGTATGCAAATGCTGGCTTTATCTTAGGACACTATCTGTTCAGTCTTTCTGAACTCTACTTCCCTAGTATTAAGCAGAATTAAGGGTATTAAGAGCTCTTTAGCAGAGTGCCTGGCAGATAGTCAGAGGGCAATAAAAGATAGTACTACTACATGTTAATACACTGTAAAGGAACAGATGTTTGAGAAGAGGAATGGATATTGAAAAAAGTTATATCTGGAAATTCAAAAGTTGTTAAATATATTTATAGGCAATTGTGGTGAGTGTACAGAAACTCACTGAGAGAAGTAAAATAATCTTAGCTACAGGTGAACTTTTCAGCATGAATACTGCTGAGAAATACTGTTTCTATTTTATACTTCTGGAAAGAGTAGAAATTCTCATTATATCCTTTAAACTGTCACTTACCAGTTAACCATTTAAGGAAATGTATTCAAATTGTCATTAAGGAAAAAAAGGTTTAACGTAATTATTTAGAATTTAATTCAATGTTTGAAAGAGGACAATTATAGTCAATATTCAGAAGTCTGTAAATAGCCTTTGACATTTTTCATTTAAAGCAAATCTAAAAAAGATTTTGAATTTACAAAAAAAGATAAATTCATTTATTATAAGCTGGGAAAGGATTATCTTCAAAGTTCCTTTATTAATAACTCTTAATGATTAAAATATGAGTCTATCTATAGAAAGTTCTACTGAGATTTCCACTTTTTGGAAGATGGACTAGACCTACTTTTCCCTATTCTGTCCACTAACAACTAAAAGCCCTGAACATTACATATAAAACAAACATAGCACTGAAAGATGAAGAGAAGAAGGGCCAGCTTGTGTCCTAAACAATAAAATGGTTACTTTCTTTAGGTTTTCTTTTTGCCTCACATATCCTAGATTTGAAACTGAAGAATCTGGATATGGCAGTGCCAATGGCACAGACAGAAAAAGCCCCAACAAATTAGGAAAGAATTCTTTTAAACAACTGATTTAATATAGCCAAAAATCTATAGGAAATAGCTGTGGCTGCAACACACTGATGCTGGCTAAGGCCTACTGAGGAGTGGGGGCTTCCACCACCTTCAAGCACCTCACTCCCTCTGCCCTCCTCTGATGTCAGAAGGTTAAGTAGGGAAGCAAGGCTGACCAGTAACAGGGAGCTTCTATTTTGGGTGTCAGTTGATGCCAGGTAGGGAAGTTAGCCTCCTCCAACCAGAAGTGGTGAGGCAGTCCCTGCTTCTCATGCCTACTTCCGCTTCCAGCACTGTGTCAGAAAAAAAGATAAAACAGAAATTTTTTAATCCAAAGTCTCAGTACCCAAAATTTCTAAATTTCCATTGAAAATCACTCATGTTAAGATCCAGGAATATCACAAATTGTCTGAAAAACACAATAGACAACAAAACCAAGATGACATCTATATCAGAATTACCCGGCATTCAGAGATTTTAAAGCAAATGTAAAAATGCTGTAGTAAGCAACTATGAAATCATTTGAAGCAGGTGAAAAAGAACATTTCAGCAAAGAAATAGAAGACATAAAGGAAATATAAATGGAAATTTTAGAATTGAAATATACAATAATCAAAATAAAAAGCTAGATGCATGGTTTTAAAAATACACTGAAGAGGGCAGAGAGAAAAAATCAGTGAACTTTAATATTGAATAGCAATTATCTCCAACAATTAAAAATAAATTGAAAAAAAAAGACAACAGTTCCATGGAATAGGAGAATAGGATAACTTTTTTTTTTTAATTTATATATTTGTGCATACAGAACTGGGGTACAGGCCAGAGGTGCAGGGCAGTGAGAGGATTCACCAGAAAAAGAGTGGAGTGCAGAACTGGCAGATCTTCAAAGTACACTGCTGAGGGTGGCAGCTGAGGATCAGGTGAGGACTGCCCCGCCCGACTTGTGGATCACCTGTGGGGGAGGTGGGGATCGAACTCATGCTGAAGTTGCTTTAGCTTCTTAGCGCTCTGCTTTAAACCAATGCACCACCAAGGAGGGCCAGAACTAACATTTTCAAAGAGTCCTAAAGGGAGAAAACAATGAGGGTGTTGCTAAAAAATACTAGAAGAAATAAGGACTGCTTATTTCTAAAATTAGACAAAATACATAAATGTACAGATTTAAGAAGCTGAGTGACTTTTCAACAAACAATTGACCCTTAATGTTTCCTTAGAAACAACTAAGTAGGGGGAATAATAGTTTTCAGCAATTAGTGTGAACTACATACAAAAGAATAAAGTTGGAACGCTACCTCATACCATATATAAAAGTTACCTCAAAATGGATTGTAGAACTAAATAGCAAAGCTACAACTACACAATTCTTAGAAGAAAACATGGAAGTATATTTTGTGACCCCTGAGTTAGGAAAAAACTACTGAGATAGGATACAAAAAGCACAAGCCACAAAACAACCTAGAAAAAATTTTTCAAATTTTAATCAAAGGATACCATCAAGAAAGTGAAGACTGGGAGGAAATATTTGCAAATGATATATCTGGTAAGAGACTAGGAAAAAAAAAAACTACAGTTACATCTTAATTTAAAAAAAAGACAACCTAATTTAAAAATGGGCAGAGGTAAAGCTATGTGGCAATTCCTCAGAAAACTAAAATGGACCTGCCATATAACCAGCTATTCTACCCCTAAGGAATATACCCAGAGGATACAAAAACATTAATTTGAAAGGAAACCCTCACTCCTATGTTTACTGCAGCACTACAGCCAAGATATGGTAACAAACTAAATGCTCCAAAAACTGAT